AGAGAGGTTTAGGAGAACGGACAAGTTGACAGAAAATGAAACCTACTTATTAAAAAGCTTATTTTTTGAAAATGCCTTATGCATATGCACATACATACTGTGGACTGGCATATGCTCAAAACTGAGACTTTTGAAGGCCTACAGGTGTCTGCAATGGTTTATCTCAGCATAGCCCATAAAAGAATACTAACTACATCATTGCAGTTAATATTTAAAGCGTAAAGAACCCATTCAACTCTAGATGTATGTGGTTCAAGGGAAAAAATACATAACAGAAAGACTCAGGTAAAACTTTGCTAGCAAAACAGAAACTTGAAATCTAAGTGTAAACCAGAGACAAATACAAAATGAAGGGGGATTTGCATCTATTCTAGCAAAAGAAAGGGCCACCAAGAAGTGAGTCTTTATAGAAAGATGGAAAGCATGTGGTCATAAGCACAAATGATCTATAAAGGAAGACCACCCAATTAAAATGCAGTGGTGGAATGAGATCCTTAATTGGACAAGAACCTCTGACCAATCCTCTGAAGTAATAAAAAGTTGGGTAAAAATAAGCCAAAGCAATGTCCTTCAAGATCGGAAATAGTTGAAGTAGGAAATGGATGAAACAGTTGCTAAAGGAGCATTAAGGTTGCAGGATTCTCTAAAAGTAAACATCCAGAAGAGCTGTCTCCATGGAAGACCTATTCACATGTTTCAAATCTGCATGTTTTTTCAAAGTACATCAGTTTTATGAACTTTCCTTACCTCTCTCCTACAAAGAATATTATTTTCAGAACCAAGGAGCATACATACTTTATCCCTGAGAGCCACCAAGCATCAAAGCTATGTGATAAAAGCTTTGATGTTCATGAAGGGAAAGTAATCTGAAAAGCACATCTAGAGCTTTAGACAGTCCAACATATTCATAAGATGTCACAGGGCATGTCCCTAAGCCAAAATTACTTTGGGCACCACAGGAAGAACAAATCCATCACTGTTTCATTTTCTGGATCACTTTTTGGAAGAAACAAGACCTGGGATCAAGCAGATACCAGCCCATAACCACAGCATTAGGGACTTACCCAATACATACATAATGGAGTGAATCTGGCTGGAGAGAGGTAGGAATGACAGTTCTAGTTCATCCCCAAAGCAGAGATCAATTTGTGATCTGACAGTTCTGATAAAAACAGTTTAGAGCTCAGCCTAATTCACACTCCAAAATGGTCAACACAGGTTGCCTACGAGGCTATTTGAGGATCTTGGTGAGCAGTTTGCTAAGAGGTGGATTTGATACCTAACACAACATTCTCAAGGAAGCAATGATCTTTTGCTCTAGACATAAAAAACACATAGTATCATAAGAACTATCTACTTTTAATAACTCCTGTTATACCAGAGAAACACTTCTGACACCTTGGACCTCTGCAATTAGGACATGAAGATGAACCTGCTTGGAATATCAGAGGTCCTGCAACCCAAATATCAGGATCTCCCTTAAGGTGGATCTGGAAAACAGCTAAAATGTATGAAGGCTTACAAACTGAATATACGCTGTCTCTGCTGAGAAAGACAGTCAAAGCCCAAGCCAAACTAAGCCCTCTGATAGGTGTGTAAGAACCGGCCACTCCGCAATGCCAAGAATTTAGACTAACCCTTCTATGGCCAGGAATACCTTAACTGTTCTAGCTGCTGAGTTTTGTGGAACAAAAATGCTTTAAAAAGTTCTAGATCAGTACTACAAAAGTGCTAAGACCCTCTTTCTTTCAGTTTACTCCTAAACAGTAACACCCCTGTGCTGCAGCTTGACAGTGACCTGCTAAAGACCATTCAACTCAACACGTTGATGCTGCAAAATTAATGATTCATTAGAACAGGTGTATTGCCTCTAGATTAAGCACCTCTATCAAGTGTCTCCTGAGACTGTGTTGACCCTGGAAACAGACTGAGCAGTGCACAAGTTTTATATAACAATTCCTGAAGGTCATCCCTTAGAGACAATAGTACAAAAGATATTTTAATCCTTTCATGCAAACCAGAAAGGGTTCCACAATGATAATTCACAATAAAAACCCTAAGAGACAAAAGGGGACAAGGAGACTGTTTGCTTTTGTTCATAAAAATACATGCTGGAAATCATCTTGTAGAGGATGAGAAACTTCCCAGTACAGCATGATTATTAGTTGCTCAGGGCCATTGACACAAAGGTAAGTTCAGAATGTGATTGCTGCTGAAAATACACTCCAAAATCATTACTGGTTTATAATCTTTTTTTTTTTATGTTGTCACTAGTCATGTTGCATTGTATAGGAGATCCAGGTTGGTATACAGTGCTTCCTTCCAGGAAGGAAAATTTAACATTGAAAGGGATCTTGCTGCAGTGAACTCACGATTTACACTGCATGAGGCCTAAAGTGTGTAAAACATCCAGTGGAAGGTCTAGTCTCTTAACCCTGGCCTTTTATAATATTTGGTAGCAAAGACAGGATTGTAAAGGGTATTTCTTTGTGAGGTCTGAGTCTTTGCAAGATTCACAGATCTTAGAACCCAAGAGTCAATGGAAGAAAAGCACTTCTAGGGATGTTCTAGGAAATAAGCAGTTCACCAAATGCAGTAGCAGCCTTGCTACGTTTCTCTTCTGTCTTCCTGGCCTTATCCATTTCATTGGAGGTCAGGTTTAGAAGCATCAGTGCAGGAAAGGGCCGACTCAAGCTTCTGTAAAAAATCCTTGAGTTGGGAAGTCTCAGAATACAGCAGTATTGCCAGAGAGAAGAAAGTGACATTTCTAGGGAACAATCCCATCAGCACCTTGCCCCAGAATCTCGGGAAGACCTGTCTCCCAATCCAGATTCATCCTTAGCTCAGAAAAGTCAAAGCTGAATCTGAACAATCAAGTTTCTAGGTTGCAAGGCAGAGTTATGACAGGCTTCATAGAAGACTACTGCTCAGAAAAGCAGAATAAACTGTTTTGATCCAGCTGGACAATTAAGAAGTACTAAGATGGTGGGGTGGCAAGTGGGACTTCCAGCCATTTTAACTAGAGAAACACAGTTTAACATCTAGAAAAGAAATGACTCATTGACTTTTCATGACTTTTTTCATGACTCAATGACTTTTTCTTCCAGTCAGTTTCCCAGTCCAGTATACCTTTATCCACTGCAGTACTTTGTGATAAGAATACATTACACTTATCCCAGTCCTTCCAATGAAAATTCTGTCTGCTTCATTATGTTGTGAATTTTTTATTACTGGAAAGAAAAAAAAAAACAATTTTCTTTTAAATTTTACATGTAAATGTAGTTTTAAAGAAATTACACACTTGAAAAACACACAAATTCTGAAAATATTAAATATGATTTCTGAAATATTTGCCATTAAAAGTAGTAACTTCCTAAGTCTTAACACAAGAAGTAGGGTAAATAACTATAGTTTATTCAGACAGTATTTCACAGTAGTTTAATTCATCCATAAGACGCTTGGACATGTAATAGCGTAATGTAGTAACATCATTATTTGTAAAGTAAGTTTTGCATTTTCTGGCACCAGGAAGAAATGTTGACAATTACAGAACTAAGTAATTACAAGTTTTTCCAGCCATATTATACAACTACTTTGGAAGCACTGTTGGTATTCTAAAGGAGCGGTCTCCAAAGTGGGATGTGAGCACAACAATCCATTCAGGTGTGGGAAGGAAATATTGTTTGTACCATTAAAAAAAAAAAAGTTTCTTTAATCTTTATCTCATCTTTTTAATTTCAATTTTTGTGTATGTTTTATGATGTACATAATATCTTGGTGCAGTAGTACATGTATATAATTTATAAATAAATAAATAAATAAATTTGGAACAAGTGTTCAAAATTTTTTTTACTGATAGAAGTGCCTATCAGTTTGGAGACCACTGCTCTAGGGAAGACAAGACTTAAGTTCCAAGCCCCACCAAAATCTTCTGCCTCTGTCACAACTGGAAGCTGTGATAACTGTTTTAAAATGTGAAAGTCTGTAGTCAGAAAGGTCATGTCACATATCTGGAATAAATATTCATCATATTTTAGTAGTTAATACAAGCTGAAAAAGATCTGAGTCATACATCATAAAATGCTTTAATATCCCACTGACATTTCAATGAGCCTCAGCTTTCTGCAAGCTTATGAGGAAGGATGATACATATATGTAGATGAAGAGAAAGGGGTAAGAAAACCTGCCAGAACTATTAAAAAAACTGTAAGGTGTTTCATGGACTCAGCCCTTGCAGAAATTCTTTGTTCTTTAACAATGAAATAATTCTGAAAATCCAAATTACTTAAAAAAAAAAAAAGTACAAATGATATACATGATGTACCCCTGTTCAATGTGTTCTGAAATATACAAATATATCTATAACTGTGTTTTGAAATATACAAATATATATATAGCTGTACTTACAGCTCTAAAGTTTATTTATGTTATTAAGAGCGTGTAGCTTCACTGGACAGTACTTAAATGCCTTTGCCTTTGTCTTGAGAATAGCATATTCTTACTAAAAGATCTGGTTTCTGTTCTTGATTTCAAAAAGCTCAAATATTGCTCTTTCAGAACATGTAGTTCTTTGACTTTAAAGTGTAAGCATTCTGGATTTTACTTCTACTAGAAAATGGCTTCTATTGAGCATTTCAGGTGATTGTATTTGCAACTCAAGAAATTCTGAATATTGTAACATAAAATTAACTAATATACAGAAAACAGTATAGGATTTTCAGTTTTTACCTCTTTCAAAAACTCTACAAAGAATATGGATGAACAAAATGAATTTATTGCATCTTAATTTTACCTGCATCAGCAAAATCACAAAAAGGAACTCCTGGTCTGTCTGTCTCAGAATCACTGGTTAGTATTTCAGCGATACACAAAGACAACTTCTGAACATCATCAAAATGTTCACATCCAGTTCTCGCATTAACATACAAAGCTCCTAGCTTGGTCCAATCACTTTTTTCCTTGCAATACTTCAAAGAAGGCAAGGGATAAATATAAATAAACACCAAACAGAAAATATATTAAAATGCAAGAGATACACCTGGGATAGAATTAAAGCAGAAGAAAGATGCAGATGAAATGCTACTGCCAAGAACCTCCATGTTCAATATGGCGTAGTTATGTGTTGCCCAACTTGCATGGGCTGTTAATCACTATTGTCCCTCAAGAAATTAAAATCCTTTTTCAATTTGTCATGACCCTAACTGGGGAAAGCCCGTAACTTAATTAATCTTATTTAAGACCTGGCATTCATCCAGTATTTGACTTTTATTTTTTTTTTTTATGATGATGCATGCCAAATTGATGGTTATTTTCTATATGAATTAGTCTCTGGCTTGCAAGATGACTTGATGAGTTTGGTGTTAAAGGAATGAAAAATCAGGCCTGGTTCTTCCCTTAAATTTTGGTCTCTGGATCTGTGCAGTCAGTGTGCTAATATATAAACTATATTATAATTGTGCATAATAAGTTAATCTGTCTTTGAATATGAAAGATGCAAGTGTCCAATTAAATAATTTTTAATAATATTTTCTTATTCTTTAAAACAATTCCTGCTTAGTGTTGCCAATTGTAGCCTTTTACAATTGTGCCCTTTTATACTGGATATTAATTCTACCTGCTAAATAATATATTAAATATTTTTTTTTGTGAGGAATGATGTACCACAACCGATTACAAGCACAACAAATGTAAGGCATAGGAAATAATTGCTTAAAATTATTAAATCTTTCAATTAGATGCAAAACCAAGACAAAAAGCTACAAGTATGTAAATTAAAATACTGACATCACAGAAAAGCCAAAGACAGTTTTTCCCTGCATGTCAATGTTTCTCAAACACAGCTCTGCATAGGAATATTTTATCATAATCTCAATATACTTAATAATAAAGCCTACTAATTTTAAATTATGTAGAAACTGCTTTCTTGTAGGTTTAGAAGTTGTTACTGTTTAGGCATTCTAAAAGGCTTGGAGAATGCATGCACTGTACCTGAATTTCAGCTACTGCCAAGTTGAAGTCAAAAAGCCAGTTCTTTTCAAAATGTCTTTCTTGAAATCTTCCATAAGAAAAAAATATTAATATTTAATTGAACACAACCTATTGAACTAAACTATGCACTAGCAGAAGGTGATTAACAAATTATCATATGAAATAAAAAATGATGTGATTTTTGATCCTATTTACTACACACTATGCAGTCTGGACACTGAAAACAGACACAATCATGTCAAGGTAAGTCAGTACATGTATTATGCAAATAATTGAGCAGACCTGTTTCCACAGAAAGTATTTCCTTGTCTCAGTATAAACGTAACTGAAAAGGTATGAATAAGACTTGGAATCCATTAAGTAAATGCAGAACTGTATTGTATGTATTTCTGACATAAAGGCTAAAAAAAAAAGTTAATTACAAGAAAGAAAGTGCTATTCAGCTTCAAATACCTAGAAGCATAATGCTTTATTCTGATGCCACCACTGAAACAATGGATGCATCTACCCAGAGTGATGCTATCGTGTAGAGATACATAACCTACATACAAGTAAGCTAACAGGTGTAGCTGGAGTAGCATAGCTGCTAAGTCTTCATAGACACAGACTGTTTTTCAGTTTGTGCTGAACAGCAAGGCAATTTGGAAGGGCTCATTCCTTTGTGAATACAATTCCTGATCTGAAAATTGATAAAAATTACCTCCAACATGTGTGCCAAGTTGCACTGGTAAAACACAGATCTGTAGCTAAAAGGTACTCTATGGGAAAAGTATGAAAACCAGCAACCAATTTCTACAGTGCTTTCACTTGAAATAGTGATGGCTTGTTTTCACACAGTAGAATACCACATAGTTGGTTTCCTCTAAGAATAAAAGGTTGCTTTACAAATTGCTAATTTCATTTCTCCACTTGTGTGTGCATTTATGATGCAGATGATTAAAAAAAAAAAATAAATCACCATCTTGTGCAAGTGATGGGGAGACATCAACAGTTTTGGAACAGATTTGAGCTGTGACTTCACCGGCACGGTCTGGCCATATTTAAAAAATGACCCTCCTCTCTAGTTGTGTTGGCACAAGCGTTATGCAGTTGCACAGTAAATGAAATGAGAGAAGTACTGTGTGCTTATGCAGTTCTAAGCAATATATGAAACCATAATGTTTCTAATTTGACTCCCGTTATACAAACTTGTAGCACAGCTGGGAACTGATTGTACAACACTGATCAATATGGAAAAATCCAATCATAACTGTGGTCAGAATCTAAGTTTTGACTTAGCAACCCTTGATTTTTGAAGCACAGGAGACTGACAGCACTTTAAAATACAATTAGGTATGATACGATAGTGTTTTCATCCAAAATACTAAATATGCATTTTCTAAATGCCTTTTAAAGTTTTTACATAAATTTATAAAAACAGAACCTGAAGAAGGATCTAGACATATATAATTATCAAATAGCTCCTTAAAGACTGACCTGGATTTTATGTTCAAAACAGTATTTACTTCCTGACTGGAAACTTGCAGTTGGTGAAGGAACTTAATAATATAGTCAAAATGTTCAAACTCAAGGAACATACCAGCATCAATAAGCTGTAATATCAAACAGGAGGAAGAAAAGTAAGTATACAACAAATTGTGATCACTTATGTGTTTCCAGGGGCAAGCGGCAAACAACAGTGGGAAAAACAAGTCACAGAGAATTTCAGTCAAAAAATAAGGGATAAATGCAAACACATACCACAAATTCAGCTACTCACAATATAAATTAAAAAAAACCAAAAACAAACCTACTGAAATAATATTGAAGTGGTATGTTTGAGTTTTAAAACAGGCAAGGTATTGCAGAAATTCCAACGAGTAGCAGTAGTACAATCAAACTCATACCTTACAAAAGGTACTGATTAACGTAGGCACAGCGTCTCTTATATTCAAAGAAGCCACATGCTCAAAGACTTTCAGAAGGACATCTACAGCTGGCTAATTTAGACAAAAAAAGCTAAATCAGTTTTGCAACTCTGTTGAATTAGAAAGCTTAGTTTTTATAACAGGAACTTCTGAATTGCTCTTTTTTTCCTCAAGATTTGAATACCAAAGTAAAACCAAATTTATTACTGTAAATGGCATAGGACGCAAAAAACTAAGAAACTATGGATCAAAGATTTTAAAAATATTAGGAAGTCACTTACCAGTGTACTGATTTGTAAAGTTACATTCAATATCTGAAATACTTCCCGCAACAAACAGTTCTTGAGCAAAGAAATGAGAAGATCATTCAGAACTTGAGAAGAAAAATCCACACCAGGAGTAACTTTGCTGTAATATTTCACAAATATTTGGACTGAAAAGCAATTAAAATAATTTCACTTTGGGGTAACGGATGCTAGCTATTTAAATTTCCTTAAATTTTAAATGTAGTTTAACAACCTTTAATGATGCAGGACATTACGGGACAGTGATATGCAGAAATATGGGTGAAAGGATCCAGTTTGAATACAGTGTTAACCTTACTAGACCCAGACTGACTATCCTGAAATACCTCATGTCACTGAGCTGAACACCATAAGCTCTGTAGGTTTCAAGAAAGCTTAGCTGGTTTGGTGCAGCACAAGAAAAAAAGCACAAAACCAGATGAGACTGGGTAAGTGCATCAAGGTAGTAAAGCCTTTCCAGACATGAATGAAGCTCTAGGAAGGGAAATGCAGTGTCATCATGGTGGATGGTCTTAGGAGCTGTTGCAGTGTTAGCCTTGATAAATACATACTGTAGCCTGCTGGCACCCAGTGTGATCAGCATTGCCATGCTCAGAGTGCCAGCATGGGAGAATTACTACACATGGCGCAGCAGGATTCCATGTTCACGTTGTACTACACTCTAATAAGCTTTCAAAAACTTAAGACTGCTCAGGAAAGGCACAAAAGGAATAACTGTCCAGAATAAAACTTAGCCCTTTCGGACTGAACTCAAAAGCTCAGAATGATCTGAATCAACTACAGTCCCTAAAATGTGATAATCATAATTGTTTGCATATATGGTAATGTGAAAGGACTAAACTAAAGCTGTTTGGGTGCCATAACAATGCTTCATTTCAAGAACTTAAATTCTAAAGTTTTTGGATTTGTGATGTTTGGCCAGGGTGCTCAAAAGTGCCCTAACAAAATTTTAGTTCTGTTAAACCTCCCCTCCGCCCCAGATACTCATTTCTATTCTCAAGTCTAGTTCCATTCAGGCTAAGGTCATTATCTGTGGAAGTTAAGATTTATAACAACCTCCTGAGATAGCTGCATATCTAAATACCTAGTCTCAACGGGAAACTGGAAGATGAAAACACATGGATTAGATGTATTCCTTTGAAATCAGAGCTTCTTATTCACTGTTGAAGTAGCACCCATTTCTCTCTTGACAGACTATTTAATTTGCTTTAAATAAGCTAAGTATCAAAGATACATCAAAAGCTACTACTCTATCATACCTGCACGTTTCAGAAGGCCTGATTCCTTGATACTAATGTATGTCCTAAGTATTGCCATGCAAATCTAGAAAAAGAGGAAAAAAAATCCATGGTAAAACGTTGCTACAGTTTATGCCAAACAAAAGAACTAGCCACAAACATGACTTCTGCAAGGAAACAAGCTTTACATTGCTTCCATTTAACCCATGCGTACTGACAAATATTATAAGGTGGTAATCGGGTCTGTAGGCAAAGGCATTGTCAAAAGGACAGCAAATCAAACAGAAAAATAATGTAGATGAAATGTTGGGAAAAGGAGCTGCTGAGACCACAACCGTATGCACGTGTGTGTACATACTCAGAGAAAACAAAAAAAGAATCTGAGAATACTGTTAACTTTAGAACGAGTACAAATGTGGCAGACTGTAAATAAACAGCAAAAGGAAAGCAAAAAGGTGAAAGTGAAAACATGATAGACAAAAATTACATTAATGTACCAACTAAGAGGTCAAAAATCATCTAGAAAGGAAGCTGGTAACACTGATTGATTGTCACAAAGAATCACTCATAAGGACATAGAAGAAAAAACTCAGAATTAACTCAATTTAATGAATCATTAAAAAAAAAAAAAAAACAAAAAAAAAAAAACGACACCTAAATATTTTAATACAGTATTTGGTACTGGAACATTCTTGTCTTAACATCTCAAGCTGTCAGCTTTGTGATACTTACACATTTTGCTCCATATTTCCAGATGAAGAAATAAAGACTACTGAGATTAAATCTCAGAACACTGGACACACTTACAGTCTTTCTGCACAACAGTGTAAACAGGTCATATTTAATACTATTTTGTGAAATAATGAAAAATCAAGACACACAAAACCCCCTTAATTAGTAGTCAAGTTACTAGAGAATTGAGTTGGGTTTATTTTTACATGCAGCTTCAAAATTAGAGGCAGGATCCACTCATGGAGTCTGTTACGCAGCAAATGAATTATCATCAAAGCAGAAGATAGTGGCTTGTGGCCAAGACACCTTTCTTTCTTAAAACTGTTAACCTGTTCAGATCATCAAGTCAACCAACACAAAAATGGTACATGTAAGTATGTTGAATATAAATAAAGCTTATTGTTTTTATTTTGAAACAGTGTCATAATGTTGTTGAACTGTAATCTAAGATATATATACCTGTCAGAAAATCATGTAGAAACTTTGATCATTAATATATATGCAGTGTCACTTGGCAATGGGTTAACTCACTTAATCCAAATCTACAATCCCAGGTGGCTGAGGGCATTTCCAAAACAAACTTTAGCACATGCTTATAGTACGTAAATTAGTTTGCTTTCTTTTGGAGTCTGTTTTCCTCCTTCCTTGGACTGACTCCCAGAAAACCCCCAAGATTGTATCTGGAGCTCTGACTGTTCCAAGTATTAGCAAAATTGCTTGGAAAATCCAGTTATAGTACTATTTAACCATAGGACATGTTACATTAATAAAAGAAACTGTGTTCTTTATTTGCAGCTTCTAGGAGGCTTCAGTTTATTTAATTGTTTCAAATTATAAAAGCTGTAACCGAACCTACAGATCATGTGAAAATGTGAGAACCTCTAAATTTTGAGTTAATCATAACAGATTTAGAATGAAGGTACATCAAAGAGACAATTCCTGTTTTCAAAAGGTAGCACAGATCACACTATTCTGTCACCTATCCCTCGATTCCACAACTCATTTAACAGGACAAGTTAGTAAAAGCCTAACAAAGGGGCTGTGTATTTTATATGAGCAACTGACTGCCCAGTAGAACACAGTTCTACTGCAGTAACACAGAGGTGCTTACATCAGAAGAACAAGCACCAGAATTTATGAATCATAGAATCAGAGAATGTTGTGAGTTGGAAGGGACCCACAAGAATCATGGAATCCAACTCCTGTCCCTGCACAGGACAATCCCAAGATTCAGACCACGTGTCTGAGGGCCTTGGCCAAATGCTTCCCAAATATTATCAGGCTTGGTGCCATGACCACCTCCCTGGGGAACCTGTTCCAGTGCTCCACCACCCTCCGGGTGAAGAACCTTTTCCTAATGTCCAACCTAAACCTCCCCCAGCTCATCTTCCTGCCATTTCCCCTGGTCCTATCATTGGTCACCAGAGAGAAGAGATCAGCACCTGCCCCTCCTCTTCCCCTTGTGAGGAAGTTATAGACCACAACGAGGTCTCCTCTCAAGTCTCCTCTTCTCCAGACTGAACAAACCAAGCGACTTCAGCCTCTCCTCATACAGTTTCCCCTCTAAACCCTTCACCAATTTTGTGGCCCATTATCTCCCAGTCAGTGTCTACTCTGATACTTAGTAAGTGGAAAAACACCATGCTGCAGCCCTTCGCTCAGTGAGATCAAAACCAGGATCTTTTTTACAAGAGACTCCGTTTCTGAACCCTGTGGCATCTTTGAGATACACACTCCATAGTAAATGTGGTTAAAACTGACCAACAGGTTAAAAAATTATTTAAAGGCAGTGAGAGAAAGTAATAAAAGGACAGTGCAATTTTAAGTCTCATTTCTTTAGGAAGCCAGATTAAAAAAAACCCAAACCAACCCACAACAGAAGCATACACCCAAGGCCCTGAAGCTGCAAGATGACATTAAAGAAGGAAAAAAAATCTTCCTATTTTATATCCTGTTTGTTTCTAGTTAGAGGTTCAAAGGATTGATGAGAAACACAGTAAGAAGTCACAAAAAGTGAACATTTCTTTAGTGGATACAACATGAGTTCAAAAAAGTTAATGAGCAAGATGTACAAAACTAAGATAAAAATCAGACAAAGAAATACAGTTTGCATAAAGATATGTTTTTAAACCACTTATTGTAACTGTGTAATTATTATCTATCCTACAGTCTGAAGTGTCATTCAAGCCAGTACTACATATTACAAGTATTTTGGCAAAAACCATAAACAGAATCACTGAATAGCTGAGGTTGGAAGTAACCTCTGTAAATCACCTAGTCCAGACCTTCTGCTAAAAGTAGGGTCAAATAGCCTAGGTTGCTCAGGACCATGCACCATCAGGTTCTGAATCTCTTCAAGGATGAAGATTCCACAACCTCTCTGGCTAACCTGTTCTAGTATTTGACTGCCCTCACAGTAAAAAAAGTTTCTTTTTACATGTAAACTCAACTTCCTGCAATTTCAATTCATGCCCAGTGTCTTGTGCCCTTTACTATGCACCACTGAAAAGAGTCGGATCCATCTTCTTTAACCCACCATCAGATACTTATACGTATCGTTAAGATACACCCTTTAAATGCTTTCAGGAGTATTTACAACAGTCTTAACAGTTTTGTTTATTTTGCCTAACACAAAGACATCTCACTGTGTGAAATTAAAGGCAGCTTTTTTAAAAAATAAGTAAATCTGCTAACTTGTAGAACTTGCTGAGCTCAAGAGCACACTGATTTTCAAACATAGGATATTTTATGAATTAAATCACTGCTGTGTTGCGTGATTAACAACTGTGAAGAGTCCTAAATCCCAGTAGGTTAAGCCATAAAGCATCAAACAGTTAGTTGATAAAAAGGATGGAATTTCCATTATGGGGAAAGATATTTCCCTTCAAAAATTCTCGTAACAATCATCACTGAAAACATAATGCCAAGCAAAAGGACTGCCAGTCTGCATAACAGTTCCTGAAGAGATTTGTTTCCCCTGTATTTGACTAGATTACTCTGTTGCTGCTTTACCTCTTCCATTTATGTACTTTGGTGCCACCATGAGGTGCTTGGCCTATTATAATTTTTAAAAGGACAGTTTCAAATAAAGAAATACACAAACAAACAAAACCCAAAGAATGCTTCCAGATCCCAAGAAACTTAGGCTAGGTTTGGTGGGTAGAACAGTGAGTGTGCTGGAGTGCTGCACCACAAGTAAAATAAAGTGGAATGGATTTTTAACAGTGTTAGGCATTAGGTCTTTAATGTGTCTGTATATAACGAAGCACTACAAACCACGATAATCATGCATTTCTGCTTGGAAATATTATGAAAATTGTTGCACCATTTCAGGAGATTACAGTATCTTTAAAGACACATGCCCCTGTTGCACTAAACTTGCAGAAAGCAATATACCACAGACGGCTTTTGACTTTAAGAATACATACAAAGTCTGGGTTTGCTTACAGGTCTCCAATGCTTAGGACAGAAATGTTTCAGAATCTCTCCATTCTACCACTCTATATTCATACAGTCTAATCCTTGCTTTTTTGCTTGATGTCTGTTCTCTTTAAAAGTCTACTAGTTCAAAATTCTACCATTTTTTAAAAAAGAACTTTGAAAGACCTTGAGAGAAAGAATTTCTGAACAGTTTTTTGATCCATCAATCTCTGAAATTTACTCCCTTTCCATATATAAACAAACTAAGGAGTAGTTTTGCATTTTAAAAGTGTTCACACTTACAATCTGTTCCCTTCTTCAATAAATCTCTTTACCTTTTCATCCCCTTGTTCAGGAACATGCCAAAACCAACATTTTCCTCTTTCACACCCACGCAAAGTCATGAAATAAAATCTGCAGTATTTACGGGGCAATTCAATCATCTCGAGGATCTGCTGGACTGAATGAGAAGTCTAAAATACAAGAAAATTAAAACAAACAGAAAAAAACCCAACAGATAATATTTTTTTGAAAGCAAATATGCTCATTTTTTAAAAGAATTTCAAAATACCTACAAAATTATAAACAAAGGCAAAAAATATGATCTACAATTAAACCTTTGAAACAACTCTAATCTTTATACCGTATTTGCAGCATTTCAAAGATCAGTCCCTTGTCATGCCGCGTTAGTGTCTAACACAACAAAAATCTGTCTTGAAGACCACCGAGAGAATGCAAGAACTGCTAAATGAGACAGACAATGAGTAGAGAGGAGGAAGAAAGGTAACAAAGTCCCGTGTGGCTCTGGATAACAGTCTGAGAATTCTGGGGCATCAATTTCCTTTACCCTTTTTCAGCACCCAGCATAACAGATAATGCAGTCTGTCCTAAACATGTCAAACCTTGTCTGCTTTTCAGTTCTACAAAAACAATAAAGCAAAAAGCATTATTTGATTTTGCCTAAACTGGAAGCAGAAATCAACAAAGCTCCACTGTGAACAGCTGTCCCCTCATCATTGATTTTGTTCTCAGAAATTGTATTTACTCAGTGATAACATCTTTAGAGGAGTCAAAACATAAACATATACAGATTCATAATTTCTGGCTAGGTATATGGAGAATTGTCTGAATATCTGTAACAAAATTAGTGCCAAAGGATCAGAAATCACTAAGGATTGAACAACTCACAATTGCATTTCTTTCCATCTTCCATGGCTCAAAATCTTCATAATTTTGCAATGGCAGCAAATGACCTTTTCCTGAATATCCGTAATCTAAAAATTAGGATGAGGGCAATGAATGGATCATGTAACAAAATAAATCATATTGAAACCACTCTCATTTATCTTATTTTCCTTTATATTTACAGTTCCTTCAAGTCACATCAACAATTAATGAAAATTTGATTAATACAATCTAAAGTCAGTAATTTAAGTTGCAGTTTTCTTAATCATTTTAAAACCGAGACTTTATGCAAACTTCAAGAGTAAGCACATTTAAATTAAAAACTTCACTACTTTATCCAAGGTTTCTAATCTAAAAGAAAATAAATGAAATAAGAATATCCAGAAGTTTTAATTTCAAAAGGGACCCCCCCCACACACATATTATCAGTAATCTTTTGTCCTGGCTTCTGCTGGGATGGAGTTAATTTTCACAAGAGGCTGGGAGGGGACACAGCCAGGATAGTTGACCCAAACTAGCCAAGGGGATATTCAATACCATGTGACGTCATCCTCAGCATATAAACTGGAGTTGTTGGTCAAGGGAAGCATGAGATCACGGCTCAGGAACGGGCTCAGCATTGAGTTCCGGGTCGTGAGCAATTACATTGTGCATCACTTGCTATGGATATTCTTTCATTATTATTATTTCTTCTTCCCTTGTGTTCTATTAAAACTGTCCTTGACTCAACTCATGAGTTTTACCTTTTTCTTCTCATTCTCCTCCCCATCCTGTCAGCAGGGGGAGGCGCGAGCAAGCGGCCATGTGGTGCTTAGTTGCTGGCTGGTCTTAAACTACCATATCTTCGCATTCCCACAGCACTAGCCATAAACTTAAGCTATTTTTTTCCAAAACTGAAATAAAACCTTTCATACTCTATGTTTTAAGGAGTGCAATATCAAGCTTAAAGCCAATGTAAGTTACTGGTTTCTTAAGCACAAAACTTGGTTTTAGAACTTTAATTATTATTGATCAACTGCGGAATGAGGTGGGTGTTCTGGTGACAGAGGATACAATGAAGGCAGAGTTACAGAATGCCTTCTTTGTCTCTGTCTACACTGCTGGAGAGTGTCCTCAGGAGCCCCAGATCCCTGAGGGCCCAGAGAAAGTCAGGATAAAGGAGTTTGCCCTGGTTGATGAGGACTGGGTTAGGGATCAGTTAAGCAACCTGGACACCCATAAATCCATGGGTCCTGATGGAGTGCACCCGCGGGTGCTGAGGGAGCTGGCGGAAGTCATTGCCAGGCCACTCTCCATCAGAGAAGTCAGAGAGTGCTGGTCAATGGACAGAGTCCAGTTGGAGACCTGTGTCTAGTGG